TTGTCCGATTAATTTCTTTCTATTTTTAGTAGAAACGGGGTCTTGCTCTTGCTCAGGCTGGTTTCGAACTCCTGAGCTCAAACAATCCGCCCGCCTCCGCCTCCCAGAGAGCTAGGATTATAGGCGTGAGCCACGGCGCCTGGCCTCATATTTGGGTTTTTTTCAATCCCACTATCATTGCTGTGATTTGCCAAAAACTTAGTTCAAAACCACCTACTTGACTTCCTGTAAAATATGACCTACTTCACATTAGCTTATTTCAGTAACAATTCCTAGACCTTAGCCACACCTTTCACCCAAGGATGCTCTCTGCACATCTTAAGGCACAGCAATCCTATGCAGATGTGGCAAGTTATTACAATTCCCATTTTACTACACAATTAGGAAGCTGGCCCAGGGGAAGTAGAGTAACTTGGAAATGATCACAAAGCCGGATGCCAAAAATAACAACTTTTAGTCAATCCATGAGAAAATACTGCCCCCAGTTGAAATAACATGAAATTTAGTATTAGGAGGATGCAAAATGCAAAATAATGCTTTAGAGCCAAGTCTTATGACTTATATTCTAAAAATGACTGAACACCAGAATTAAGAAGATTTGTAAGAACTTTCAAACAAAACATTTTTTTTCCCTAATGCCTTATCCATCTAAGGATGCCAAAGATTATTTAATAAATTACATCTGGCAAGAATGGCCTTTTTCCCAAAGCAATTTTTATCTTACCCACTTAAAAGACAGTAATAGAAATCTGTTGGTATAGGGTAATAGGTAACTTCTTAACAAACCTAACTGCATAAAATCTAATACCTAATATTAGAACAGATCTGAAAATACTGCAAAAGTGAGCCTCTTATATTCTTTTCCTGAAAACATACGCTCCACAGATCCATCTGCAATATGCATGGATAATAAATTAAAAGTTTTAACAGTCAGTATTCAGAATGAAGGTTTCCCAACACAATTCATCCCGTAGATTTCTAGATATGTTGCCTTTTGTTATAATTAGTTAAAGGCACTGTTTCATTTGTCACAAAATAAAGGTCTTACATGATTTAGAAACAAAAACACAACTCAAATTGTAAAAGCACTTTTATGATCATTCTTACATGCTCAAGTCAGAGCAAAATATCTTCCATTATTACACAGTATTTACAGTTTGCTTCCAGTTAGAACCAGTATGCTCAAGATTTTACCTTCAGAAGAATGATTATGTACTGAGAACAAGTAAGGGAGACAAATGATTATTAGTAAAACCCACTTATGGAACCCAGACTGCAAATTTTCACAAAAACCTCATGTATCAATCATGAAACCATGGTTTTTCATTAATTAAAATTCAAACTAATTCTAATCACAGCCAAAAAACAACAAAAAAAGGCTTTCCCAATGCACCAACATTTCTTACAGATCTTGTATATCCTTTGCAGTAACACTTTATATAGAACTTCAGCCGTAAACCAAATGACATTCCAAATGATCTTATGAGTAACATATCTTCTAAAAGTAGTAATCAAGTAGTGGGAAAAAAACTCCTGAAAAATACATTCAGTAAAGTAATACTGGTAAATCTAACCTCTTATTCCTAGCACCAGAACAACTTGGGTAATTAAAATACACACACACCCACTCCCACACATAACCCCAAGCTTTTACCATTACCATAACAATAAGAACATAACAAGAAGAACAAGTTAACAGTCCTTCAACATTAAGAAGTATCTTTAAAAGAACCTGGCTACTAAAGGCTATTACTTATATGTATATTATATACATATTATATACATCTGTATATTATACATATATACACCTGCATATAATATACATATTATATACATCTTGCATGTATATTATATACATCTTATATACATATTATATACATCTTGTATGTATATTATATACACATTATATGTATACATGGTTTTTAACTGTATTTGAGTATTATAATCCACAAAGGTCCTAGAAGCAGTATCCATCAACTAGAAACTGCACTCTTCACCGCTTTCCTCCTTTCAACCCCAATGATGGGACACAGAAGGGCTGTGGCTGTCATACATCTACAGAGCGAAAAGCAAATAATTGTAAACTATGTACTGAAAAAGCAAAACATTTATATGAAATTCCCAAGCAGTATGCTTCTCTTTTTCCTTATGATACAGGAGTTACTGGCAAAATAACTAAACTCTACATCTAGATTCTAGAAAATGCTGAAATTCTACACCCCAACAGTCACAAGTTTTTAACATCAAAATTCACTCAACTTCTCAAACAACAAATGAATATCCACCATGGATATCTGAAACCATTCTCAAACACCAAGAGAAAAAAAAACAATACCTGCGTCTCCTAAACGTCCTACAATACCCTCTACTCATCTTCAGGTAACCTAGAAGCAAAGCTACGACAGCTGCCCTTGGCCTAGGCCGTCAGAAACCATGGGGTGGGGGGGGACGCAATAACCACCAAGAGACCAGATCTTTTTCCAAGGCTACTGTTTCCAAGCAAAACAACCACGGGCCCAAAGAGACGGCTATGAAAATCGGAGACGCTTTCATTCCGAGAGGAAAGAGGTGCGGATGATACATAAAATCCCAATAGAAAGAGGTGCGGAGAAGAGAGGTGCGGAAGAAACTAAGTATCCCATGTATCTTTCAGACCCACAGAACAACAACAAACCGTAGAGTCTGAAGCACCAGATGGAGTCCCCGGGGCTGAGACAGTTCAGCAGACACACACCGTGGGTAGTGGATAAATCAACCGATGCTGGAAGGGGAAGAGGGTGCTGAGAGAATAAGCCGCTGGATGGGGGAGACAAAGCCTCTGGGGGTAATCAAGGACTAAACAGAAAAATGAGAGAGGATACCCATGAGAAAGACAATGGAAGAAAAATTAAGGCAGGAATCTGGTGCCTGGGCTGTGGCAGGTCACTGGACTACCGACAAGCGAGTGGCACAACAAAGGGGCATGGGAGGACAGCGGAGGGGAGGAGATGGAGAAGGGACGCGGGGCGCGACCGGTCGGACAAAGCGCCTAAGGCGGCGAAACAAAGGGCCGGGGGTAGAGAGTCGCGGGGGGCAGCGGGGAAAGACAAAGCGCCCGGGGCCGCGGACACCGGCGGGGCTAAGAGGCGACGACGGCCCCAAGGAACAAAGCTGTGCGGATCCCCGAGGCAGGGCCCGCGGGCGGCGGCGCGGCAGGCGCGCGGCAGGCACGGCGCCCGCGGGCCCCGCGCGCCCGGCCGCACTCTCGCCCGCACCCGCCGGCCTCGCCGCCGCCGCCCGCCCTCACGCGCCGGAGCCCGAGCCACGGAGGCGCAGAGCGGCAGCGCACGGCCACACGCCGCCACCGCGCTCGGCGCACGCGACGCCGCCCCCACAGCCCCCGGAGGCCAAGCGCGCCGCGGCTCCCGAACCCGCCGTGGGCTGCCAGCCGTCCGCAACTTTCCCGATTCCCAGCGCTCTGATTCCCCGAGACTTACCCTGTCACAACAGGCGCCATCTTCCACAAACTCTCGCCAAAACTCCAACCCTCGCGAGATTCCCCCCGACGCCTTCCCTGGTCCCTCTCCCCCGCCCCTTCCTTTTTTCCTCACTCCTCGATTCCACCCAGCCCCCGCGCTGCTTTTCCCCTCGCAGCCGCCGCGAAGAGCCAGACGCCTCGCGCCGCCCGCGGTGTAGGGGATCCTGCTCGCTGCCTTCCCTGGAAACCTACCCAAGCGATGGAGCATGCGCAGGCGGCTCCTCCGCGGGCGAGCCCACGGTGTGGTCCATGGGGAGCGCTCCGGTTATCCGGGTTTTGGGACGCGCCCTGAGGGACGTACGTGGAGACTGAGGAAAACCGGAGGGGATTACTACAGGGCCGCGGAATGGAGGGCTAGGAGGCGGGGCCGAGGGGACGGGAGGAGGGGTCCTGGGAAAATCTGCCGCGTTTCACAGGCCTAGATGAAACACCTCCTCAAATGGGTGTTTTCCAAGTGGCTTCCCGCTCACTCTGGGTTCCCAGCTCTTTTCATTCATTCAAAACGTTCACTGGGCGCCTCCTTTATGCTAATCTCGGCGTTAGGTGCAGGAGCTACGGAAGTGCCTGCGGTTTGGACAACTGATACACCAGGAATTATCTTCATTCCTTCGACCCTCATGCTAGTGAGGAGACCCTTCCAGAGCTCTGTGAACGGAAAACTTTCGCAGTTAATCATTGTCGCCTTAGCTTTCTTCTTGGGTGCGAGATGAGGTCAGGACAAGGCCTCTGGCAACGAGATCCCTACAGTCCCCCTCGCATACACGCGCCAGAGCGCCGAATAGTTTTCTCCAGAAGTGCAAACTGCGGTGGAATCGAGTGCCACATTCTCCCACCCCCAACTCGGTGCAGGCAGCCGCCTACTGCGTGAGCCTCCCTAGGACCGCAGCGCAGCCGCCAGCCCTGTGTGAGCCCGGGCGTATGTAGGGGCGGACTACTGCACAGGGAACCGGTCCTCCCGTGGCCTGTCACAGCCGAGGGCACTGCTAGCTGCCCGAAACGTACTTCAGGCGGCCTAAGCCCGGAAGCACCCAAGTAAACGTGGCCCGTCTGGGCATTTAATAGCAAGGTGCAGGGTCCGAGCCCCGCCCCCTCCTCTCTACCTGAAGCCCCCCTTTTCCCCCTCCCTTGCCCTTTCCTTTCCTAGAGATTCCCAGATTCAGCGCTGCCTCCCGCAGGGAACCCCAAAACCCGGACAACTGGAATTCGCCGCCCGAAACCTGCTGAAGGCGCTGCAGGATCGGCGCGGCACGCGCGAGTGGCACTGCGCATGTGCCCAATGCGGGCAGCTCAGTCTCACGCTACACCTCCTTCCCACCGCCTTCCACTACTCGGCTCAGACACAACACGGGCCGTGGGAAATTTTCTAAACCTCGCGAGAGCGCGCCCTCTGTTGCTTATGCTTTCGCCTCAAGTCTCGCGGAGCCCTGGCAGGACAGGTGTTTGTCTAGCGCAGCTTCGGGCGCTGTTCGTGCCGCGCGTGCCCAGGCGGCGGGCGGCAGGCGCGGGCGGGGTGGGAAGGGAGCGGCTCGCCGCGGAGGCGGGGCGGGTGGGCGCGTGGCTGGGAGCACTGGGCGGAGGGCGGCGGGGGAGGAGATCGTCGTCTCGCACACACGCACACGCCCGGTGACGCTCGGTGGAAGAAAGGGGGTGGGGGAAGCCTCTAAAAGAAGTGGAAGCCAAGACTTAAGTTTGGGAGCGTAAGAGGTCAGGCTCTAGGGCAGGAGAAGCCCCAGGCAGATCTCCTGGGGAGATTTCCTGTCGGCCTCCATGAGCCTGGTACTTTCCTAAAATGTGTTAGACGCTGTGCCCCCCGCCTCCGGGAGCTGACAGACAGCCCCCAGTGTCGGGTTTGAGTCATGCCTCTGAGTCACCTAGTCTGGCCACCGCTTCACTTGCTTTAAAACAAGTTTTGATTTCCTTAGCCACTCTCCTGTAGCAGTTGGTTTTCTTTCTGATCTACCCTCTGGCCTTGTGAGTTGAGTAGAAGAAAAAAAACATACTGCTCTGCACTCTCGCACTGTCGCCTTGTAAAGATTCTGCCTCCTGTTCAAGAACACGAATTTTAAATTTCTTTTCTCCAGCTTCTTCCCAGCTTTTTGAAGTAATCCCTTTTTTCAGTTTCTGTTCTTTTTTTTCCTCCCACAATATGACTTAAAATATTGCTTTTGCTTTCCTTTACCTTTCCATGTTTTTGTTGAAATGTCCTGTTTTAGGTATTGTTGCATCGGGTATTTTAGTGACTACTTTTTAAATGCATCCCTTCTTTTTGGATTTTTTGTCCAATGAGTTTCCGGTCACATTATTCTATCAGCCATGTTTCAGATTGTCCCTGATGTGGTTTCAATACCATGCTAGCCTAGCGTAGAAACTGATGTCTTGCTGATATCATAGACCCGCAAATGTAAAATTTAATTGAATTTTGATATTTGCAGGACAATGAGTCTTCTACTAGGAAGAAATCCAAGTTTTTGAGTTGTTTTCAAGGTTTTTAGGGGTGTGCATGTGTGTGTGTGTTTGCCTATTCCTTTGATTATATTTTTCATACAGAAAAAAATGTAAGAACATTGAATATAATATCTCAATGCAAGTCTGGTTTGGAACAAGATGGCTTAGGAGTAGGACAAGGTCCTTGGAGCCTTAATCCCAAGACGGTATTTCAGTCATGGTCTAGTTCTGGCCACTGATCTCATTTGGAACCATGGCCTTCTGAGAGTCCCAGGTCCTTGGAAAACCCTGGTAACCACAAGTGTAATTACAACTCTTCATTTTCACCCTAAAGATGCTTTGCCTGTAGCCTTTCCCCAGCTCAGTAAAAGGGCAACTCCATTCTTCCATTTACTTAAGCCAAGAACCTTGGAGTCATTTTTGCCTGCTTTCTCTCTCACACTCAGGATCCTATCAGAAAATCGTGCTGGCTCTACCTTCAAAATATACCACAATCCAAATATTTCACACCTCTTTGGCTACCCACCTAGTCTAACCCATCTCATTTCCCACCTGGTTTAAGGAAGTCCCCTAACCTGTCCTCCCTTCTTGCATCCTTGCCTTTCCTCAGTCTGTTCTCAGTGGAGCCTTCCGAGTAACCCTCTAGAACTCCCCAATGGTTTTCTCATTGCACTATGAGGACCTACACAGTTTGGCCTGCTGCCAACTCCCCACTACCACCACCACCTCTCTGCCCTCACCTCCTCCTCCTTTTCCCCTCACTCACTGAGCTCTGACCAGCTGCCTTCCTTGCTGTTCCTGGGACACACCAAGATACACTTTGCTCTTTCTACTACCTGGAATACTCTCAACTTCAGGCCTTTGCTCTTTCCACTACCTGGAATGCTCTTCCCTCAAGACATCTTCTGGCTCATTCCCTCACTCCTTTCAGGTCTTTGCTCAAATGTCACCTCCTCAGTGAGGCCTTCCCTGACCACACTTTGCAAGAGTGACTCCCATATTCTTTATCTCCTTTTCTGCTTAATTTTTCCCATGACACTTACCATAACTTATCGTACCATATATCATACTTGTGTACTGTGTTTACTATGGGCCTCCTCCCATGATAATATAATCTTAATGAGGGCAGGGACTTTTGTCTGTTTTGTTCATTATTCAAGCCTTAGCCACTAGAATGATGCCTGGTGCATTGTAAGTATGTGTAGGATGAGAGTGTCTTCCATTTAGGTGGCTCACGCCTGTAATCCTAGCTCTCTGGGAAGCCAAGGCGGGCGGATTGTTTGAGCTCAGGAGTTCGAAACCAGCCTGAGCAAGAGCAAGACCCCGTCTCTACTAAAATTAGAAAGAAATTAATTGGACAACTAAAAATATATAGAAAAAATTAGGCGGGCATGGTGGCGTATGCCTGTAGTCCCAGCTACTCAGGAGGCTGAGGCAGGAGGATCGCTTGAGCCCAGGAGTTTGAGGTTGCTGTGAGCTAGGCTGACGCCACGGCACTCTAGCCCAGGCAACACAGTGAGACTCTGTCTCAAAAAAAAAAAACAATATTGGGGTTAGACCACCAGTGAGAACTCCAATACTAGCCTGCCTGGGGAGAAGAAAAAAAAGCCTATAGAAAAACCACCTGTGTTGGCTTTCTGCAAAAAACAATCCTTCTGGGTTAGACCCCTACATGAGGCTACACTTACCTAGAGTTTCCTTTACTCTCCATTCTAGACCCTCAGGAAAGAAAACACTGTTAGCAGGACATAAAGAAACAAATATGTTCATGGGTTGCAAGTGGAAGTGAAAATGGATATAATCTTTTTGGAAGCCATTTTTGGCAAAATTTATCACTGAAGTTTATCCTACAAATATACTACATATGTGAAATTACCTATAATTTCCAGCATCATTGATGGTAAAAAATACTGGTAACAACCTAAATGTCAAGAGATGTCTTATTTTAAAAAATCATGATATATTCATAGAATGGAATAGTATGCATCTGTTAATAAGCAGAGGCTGCTTTTTATGTACTTACATGGAAGGATCAAAAAGTTTAAAAAACAGTGTAAAACAGTTATAGATAAATATATACTTATTTGTATTTGTCTAAAATGGCTCTGGAAGGACACACTGGATACTGTAATGGTGATGCCTCCCTGTAAAAGACTGAACATTGGAGGACATAGGTGAAGAGGGGGGCTTTTCTCACAGTATGCTATCTTGGATCCTTTGAATTTTGTACCACGTGCATGTATTGCCTACTCAATGTAAAACATAAAAAATGTAGAGGGGGGAAGAAAAGTAATAAATGTGCAAGAAGACAAAAAAATTGACCGAATAAAATTCTTTCTTCCACTTTAGTAGAATTAGTTTCTCCTAAAAGTTATGTACATGATCTACGATCTCAATAGAATTAAAACAACAGAACTAACACATGGTCTATTCAAACAGCACGTTTAGAGTACCTACCACTGCAGTTCAGGCATTATCTTGGGTGTTTTACAAAGATGGATAATGCAAAGAACACAACTTCATGGGTCTCCCTGGCTAACAGAGTCCACAGAGCAGTTGCAGTGTAATTCCGTGCTAGGATAGAGACAGGAGTTTAACTGCGTGGGGGTACAATGGAAGAAATGCCTGACTCTTGCCTGATGGACCCAGGAAGACTTTGCAGAGATGTCTTTTGAGCTGACTCTTCCTGCGGTGGGAGTTCAAAAGAAACTAAGAGGAGGAGGAAGCATGACAAGCA